TTAAGGTGATTGGTTACATCACTAAAAACAAGAAACATAATTATTGACTCCACAAATTTCCTGAAATCTCACTCATAACAATTATTTTTTTTCTGTCCCACCATGCATTAAAAAACACTTCATCATGACTGTGATTGCAATTCTTCATGAAGTTTTTGCTTTTTTGTTTTTCCCGTTCTTCTGAATTCTTCTCTTTCTTTTAAATATTCTTGTTTACATGAATTAAAGAATTCTGGATCTCTGAACCTAGAAATATAGGAATGAAATGTTGAGAGAGTTGATGGTGAATTCAAATCGCCACTACTGAGCACATGTGCATTGCATTGTGGAAGAGAGAAATTCAAATTTTTCACCACTGAGCATGTTGCTGAGCATATGTGCATTGCATTGTGGAAGAGAGAAATTCAAATTTTTCACCACTGAGCATGTTGCTGAGCATATGTGCATTGCATTGTGGGAGAGAAATTCAAATTTTTCACTACTGAGCATGTTACTGAGCATATGTGCATTGCATTGTGGGAAAGAAATTCAATTTTTACACCACTGAGCATGTTACTGAGCATATGTGCATTGCATTGTGGGAGAGAAATTCAAATTTTTCACCACTGAGCATGTTGCTGAGCATATGTGCATTGCATTGTGGGAGAGAGAAATTCAATTTTTTCACCACTGAGCATGTTGCTGAGCATATGTGCATTGCATTGTGGGAGAGAAATTCAAATTTTTCACTACTGAGCATGTTACTGAGCATATGTGCATTGCATTGTGGGAAAGAAATTCAATTTTTACACCACTGAGCATGTTACTGAGCATATGTGCATTGCATTGTGGAAGAGAGAAATTCAAATTTTTCACCACTGAGCATGTTGCTGAGCATATGTGCATTGCATTGTGGGAGAGAGATTCAAACTTTTCACCACTGAGCATGTTGCTGAGCATATGTGCATTGCATTATGGGAGAGAAATTCAAATTTTTCACCACTGAGCATGTTACTGAGCAT